CGAAAAAAGCCGACACCTGACATATACATCAATTATATACAAATAACATGCAAAGCAGAAATAAAATACCTAGGTATGACTATAGACAGCAAATTATCATGGAAGCAGCATGTAGTCAAGAAACGAAAGCAAGTAGACTTAGCCATTAAACAGTTAAACTGGCTAATAGGCAAAAAATCAAAGCTAACAGTTGAAAATAAAATTCTGATCTATAGGACTATAATCATACATATTTGGACATACAGCCTGGAATTATGGGGCTGCGCCACTAAATCTAATATAGCAATAATACAAAGAAGCCAATCTAAGATCCTACGAATGATAGTCGACGCACCATGGTATGTCTCCAACGCAATACTCCACACCAAAATCATAACTCATAAAAACCCACTCCTAAAGGCGCTATCGACAAGAGAAGACAACAGACAACTCAAACGAAACTGGCCAATTGACCTGATTTGAATTACTGAGGATTCGCCGCTGGACGACTCCTCATCAAGTCATCTGAACAACCATAACATTAGCTTATAGAATGTATATTCTGATTGCTGATTAAACAAAAGCAAATGAACAAATATAATTGGGAAAAAAATAGTGAAAGAGATGATGATAAACCAGATATGGGAATTCACAAATAAGGACAAGGGAGACACTATAGCCCAGAGTTGGATATATAATTTGAATGAACATTGCCAAGTACAGGGAAGAGATAATACAAGTCCAGAAGTCAAGGAGTCTCAACTGAAAGATGGAAAAGAAAAAGAAGCCAGTGAAAGTGAGAACTTGAGTGATTGTAACTGTGAACAGACAGTGGGTGTACACAAAAATATTATAGATGGAAATGACACCAGTAATCAAGGAAAGGTAACAGAAACAATCCTTGATCGGGAAAGAGAGCATAATAATAGAAGAAAAAGAAGACCACCACTAGAAACGAGGATTTTTTATGGGAGTAAAATCAAATAAGTCACTTTTCAATAAGTGTAATTATATTAAAGAATATTTTAACCTTTAAACGACTAAAGACAACGTATGTCGTCGTNGCCGTAGGATAGACGTTAATTCTTATACATCAAAATATCAGATGTCTTGGTGGCAAAACTGATGAATTGAAGTGTTCAATAGTAAGCAATAATATAAATCCACACTTAATATGCTTATCTGAGCATCACATGTCGGACCATAAGTTATTATTATACAGCAATTTCCAGAACTATGTACTGGGAACAAAGTATGCCCGTACGACTCATCAGGGAGGAGGTGTTTACATTCCATTGCATTCCATGGATCCAAAGTTAGTCAAAATGACTGTAGGATGTGGAATATGTCATATAAATACAAAACATATGTACAGTCCCAATGGAGTTCTCACACAAGAGAAACCAAGAATACACAGTGACTACACACAAGGTTATTTACAGACATATGTTATTTTCTAGGCAATAGGTATTCATCAACAGAGTAGAATGAATGTGTATTTAAGTATCGTTTCAGTGCTATTTTAAATCATGCCTTTTCATTCTTAAGACCCTTGAGATCAGATGGCAGGTTATTAAAAATGTTGATCCCAGCATAGTATGCGGTTTTCTGAAAGCATGAGATGTTAGCAATTGTTCATAATGTGTATGTATTAACAGTCTTCAAGTGCATACAATCTCATTTAAATGACTCTATTACTCTATTGACGAATTTGTCGAGCATGCAAGGGGCTCAAATGTTAAGAGTTAATAAATGGTCTGTGTTCTTGTATTATATGCTGTTGAGACTTGCTGGCTGTAGGTGTGGCAGTATGTATGGTGTCTGTGTTTGTTATGAATTGTAATATGTTAAAATGAAACTGTATTGATGATATGGCTGGCTGATGTGTGTGGAATGGCAAGGTATGAATTTGACAGTGGTTTTGCCGTGGCCTAGGTGTGCTGTCTGCATGAGGCCTAATTATGTACTTTACTGGATACAACTTTCTTGACAACTGGTACATCTTATTATACTGCATAACCCTGCCTCATGCTCGTTTTTTTAAGGTGTCAGTACAGTGATGTGTGAATCTTCAGAGGCAAAGTATTGAACTGAATTTTGTCATTTATGACTGAAACATGCTGGTGTTTTAATAGTACTTAATCAGCACAAGAAAATAAATTGCATATACTCAGTGGTGACTTCACAACCTCTTTAATTTAAGTATACTGGCAAAATGGACCTTATCAGACATTCCTATCATGTTTATTATATATCCAGAACTTTTCATTTTTACCCTACTTTCCTTATTTTGAAAAAATAAAACAAAGCTTATGAGATCACCCTGATGTCCCCCCTTCCAATGCCTGAAAGCTAGAATAGTGGAGCCAATGATCTAACCCACCTCCCATGTGGAGGTGGGTCAGAATACCTCCACCATAGCCCTGCGAGTTGTAGAAGGCAGCGAAAAGGGACCCCAGTGTCTAGAGGTATAACTGGGCTGCCCTTTCCCTGAAGAACATAAATACATGGACCTGGTCCTCAAGGTTCAGGTGTCGGATGCAAGGCTGACAACCATGCTCTGTACAAGAATTACTGTTGCAAAATCCTAAAAGTGAAAACTAGATCAAATCTGGCAGAATTTTCTAAGCAAGGCTGTAGCTCAAAAAGTTCTGTTTTGTAAATGATGAAATGGCCGTTGCTAGGCAACGGCCCAGTTAACACATTCCTATGGCAACGAGTACACAAGCAATAATAGAAGAACTGTTGGATGCTGTGTTTTCTATTTGGTCCATGTTGTAGCAAACAGTCAGTATGTAGTGAAAGGGAAGTAGGTGATCAGTTCCTCCCAGAACCTCTTGTTATCACATTTAATTCATATACATGCTAAAAACAATATCAGAACTATGCAATATAAATTTTTAAAACTGCATCTTATCTTGCAGATATATCTGGCATGAAAATTTTATATTATTTTACAAAATGGCTCGGCAATTCCAGTGTAGCAGCAGACTTGGAAGTAAGAGAATTAAATATGTAGAAGCTTCAAAGATTAAAATTCCAATAAAGTACAGTTGTAGGGGATCCAGCAAAATGGACACAACTACTGAAATCTGTAAGGGTACAGTTACCAACCCAACAGAAAAAAATAAGAATAACTCATTGTATGGGAATTTCAGGTGAGACTCCTGACTTGTAACAATGGTCCATACCGGGCAATATGTTTAACCAGCTAATCTTCAATTATGCCTGATATTATTTTTACTTGTAATTCACAGATGGCAGGACTGTAACCCTTGCCTTGCCTTAATTTGCTAGTTTGTGGCAGTTGTTTGTTGTCAGTATATAGTTTCTTTATATATTTCTTGCCCTTCATTTAAATTCCCACATAAAGAGTGAATAAGCATACTTTCATAATATAATAAAGCCTAATGAAGTTCTTGCAAGGCCAAAGAGATCACACAAGTTTAAAAACACCAATTAAGAGGATAAGTAGGACTTGCCAGGTGAGCAAAATGATCTGTACCCTTTAGATAATTTATTATGAAGCAGTCAAGCAAGATCCAACCAGCACATGCATCCAGTTGCAATGATTTTACTGCCACGAGTGCTACAGTCAAGAAAATGGCGACATCAGTCCAAATACTGAAATATGTCCACAGTTTAATGAAACAGAACCTATCATACAAGTGCAATGATGCTATTAACCACAGATCTCAGTCGATAACTTAAATTAATCATTTATGCATGGTACAAACAGTTTTGTGAAACATGTTTGTGTAAACGAAAAAGTTCTGGTTGGCCAGTTGGCCATCTGTGAGCGAGTGAGAACAGTTGATCTATTGTGTCAGTCCTTTTAAAAAGTCCATAGAAGTCAACAAGACATGGAAGCCATGAACTGAATTTACCAGAGAAAACCATATGGAAAATACTATGGTAACATCTTTGAATAAAAGGTTACAGGTTTCAAATAATGCAACCTATCCATGAAGAGGTACACAGCCATATTTTCAACAAGATATTTGCTGACTCTTCTTGGTTAAGTTAGTGTTAGTGATGAGGCTATTTTCCACCTGTTACGAAACGTTAACAATCACACTGTCACAATTTGGGACACAGATTATTAACATAATGCAATCCAACATGTCAAAGATAGTGCAAAGTAAATGGGTTTTTCACATTGCCCACTACACCAATGGAAACAGCTGAAACAAACAGTTACCAGTAATATGTACTTTAATATACTATAAAATTGGTTAACAGTATAACTTCAAGAAATCTAGGTTGGATTTCACCAATATGGATTGAGGGGGACTTCCCATTTTCATTGTGATGTATGAGATTTCCAGGAAAGACTGCCTGAAAAATGAACTGGACAAGGTTGGCCAACAGACTGGCTCCCAGGTACTGCCAGACTTGACACCCTTTGACTTCTTCCTTTGGGAGATGTGCAATGCCTTCACACTACATAAACTCAAAACCAGAATCAGATGTGCTGCTGAATCAATAAATACCCAAATGCTGCAATGTGTGGATGGAACTGGAATACTTACTTGATGTGTGCAGAGCTACGCACGGTGCACATACTGAACAGCTCAAAGTAGTAAAAGAAACACCAGCAGTTATTTAATGTCTGAATGTTCAGATGTTGAACTGTGCCTGACTGCCTCACATATTTCTGAAATGGTGGAGATCATTTGTGCATAACCTGTATATATAATTAATTCTTCTCACGACAGACATGGATTCATTCCTCAGCTGGAGGAAAGAGGCCAATAAACAGGAGGTATATGTTAGAACACATGCACATTAATCTTACCACTTCAAACTGGACTCCACCAAACATCACATCCATATGTTTTCTCAAAAGCACATTTCAACTTGTTCTTTCTGCAAGTTTCTACCAAGCATAACCATTCAATCTTAAAACCACAATTTTTCCATCTTCAGGAAAGTTCACAGACATATGTTTTTCTTTCATAAATGTATTTCTCTGCACTCTTACTCTGATAAGGGATTAAGTTTTCAATTATTCACACCACTTCACTCAATCATTATATTGAGAAAACCAAAATCTACAATATAAAAAAATATGCAGAGTCAAACTGAGGCATAAACTTCAGTGACCTGTATAATATGTAGATTCATTCTATACCTTCAGGTGTGTAACATTTCAAATCTGATACTGTCTATTATACTTGTGGCAGTAGCAGGGTGAGCAGTAGAAACAACAATACATAATCTCCAAAGAGGATTACCAGCAGTGAGCTCTGCCCATGTCTCTTCATATTAATGACAATTTTAAAATGCTTAAGTCCCTTTGGTTTTGGATTCCTACAATTAATACACACTACACACACTTCATAAGTGCTAATATTTGCTTATTTTACCAGAGAGAGGAAAAAAGCTGTGTTGAGCCATGTACTGGGAAAGATTACTGTAGAATAATTTTTTTGCTCTGAAATCTATGTATAGAAGTTACCAAAGTAATTTTAAGGATGATGATATTTATTTACCATGCATCGTCCTTATACAAGACAGCAAACATGATGCTATTTTCCACGTGATTCACTACCATTACTGGCAGTCAATTGAGAATAGATGCTTCCCTTTGCCAATCCTCTCATTGGCCCTTTCCTCAACTCACTGTTGGGGCCCTTTGCTATGTATGAGCGTTCTCCTTGGAGCAGTGATTTATTGGGTCCTTTTGCTAATGAGCTTCTCCCTCCATTTCCCAAGAGATCAATATTTGGTCCATTCCAAGTAACATAATCAGCCCTGGAACAAAAGAGACAAAAGCGTAGTAAGGTTCAATACATCACCAACCCTTTTATGGGAAATAAGCACAACTTTTCTGGCCTACTGTTCCTACTGGCCCAGAAATGGCACCAATCCCGCTCTATTCCCCATTTCCACAATCCTTTTCAAAACAGAATGCTATACGTATACACAGGGACTCATCAATCTACTCACTTTGACACTAAAGATGGACGCAGTACATGCCTCCGAAACATCAGTAACATCACCCACAACATAGTGTAACAACCCAAAAACAGATTTAACATATCCACCTGCTGCAAAAACTGTAATAAAACTGTCAATAATCTGTTGCTTCTGTACACTTTTCAGCTATAAATTACCTTTATCTTTTCAGCCATCCCTTCTTTTCTGCTGAAAACTCTTTTTGCTAAAGCATAACTGAACAGGCAATTTAAATCATTAACACAATTCCACCTTTAGATAAAAAGGTCATGTGAAAATTAAAGGCTTCATTGTGATGAGGTCTGTGATGAAACTGTACAGAACCTTAATTTTGACATCTAAATAAAATACAATTAACTTTCTACCGTTTCTCACGGTGTTGTCGCTTGCAGATTTCTTATACTTTTTCTTCTACCCTGAAGATGGGGGCGATACGTTCCTCCGAAACGTCGGTTAACACCACATATACACGGTGCCAAATCCCAGAAGACTGCTTTCTTCATAGTCACCGCCGTGAAAGCCTCAAATCTTACATAACTTTCTGTTATTTACAATGTCATCAGAAAAGTATCATTCTTACTTTGTTTTAGGTTGCTTCTTTGTGCTAAGCCAATATCACCTCAGTTAATATTTCACTAAAGTTGTAATTGTTCCCATTAAGCTGTCAGGCAAAGCAGCCTCCGTAGTCTAGAGGTAACGTTCCCACCTCATGACTCGTAGTACACGGGTTCAAATACCCGGCAGAGGTCGTCAAATTTTTACGGGCGGAAAAATTCAGGGAACAAGTCCTCCGGGAGGAACTTTAAGCTGTGGGTCTCGTGTCGTAGCTTTACGGCACGTAAAAGAACCTCATGTCTCCAAAGGAGGCCACTGAGCAAAATTACAAACGTTTCCCGCCCAACAGTAGTCTCTAATACCTCTGGTAGATGGGGGAAAAATTATAGATACCACTCAGCTAGTAGAGGCCGATCTCGCTGGCTGAGCAGGGCTGATGGTAAGCACCAGTACCGGTAGGATATAGAGACTGGTAGAAAATCATAGAGGGAAGCACAATGAACCAAGACAGGTCTAAGTGCATGGGGAGACCGACCGACCGACCGACCAAGTTGTCAGGCATGTGATTTAAAATTGTTGCTTTTTCAGTTTATTTTTTGCTGGCACCCGCAGACTTTTTATTGTAATTTAAAATTAATACAGTTCTTACTGGTGGGTGCTCAAGTTCGTGAATGTACCACTTCCCCATAAAAACTACCCTTTATATTGCCAATTTTATTCCCATTTGAGGCATGCACATGCAGAAAAATATCATGCAAGCTACATTTGGTTAAACATTACTTACAGTAACAGCTCATCATTTGGTCCCTTATACAGATCTCTGTTTGGCCCACAGACCTTCATCAGATATGGTGATTTGTACTCCTTGTCTTCAGTAGTACTTGTACCACGAGAAACTCTATAAGATAAATTAATCCTGGTGGTGTCAATCATCATGGTATTAATTATATTCATAAATGTACCCAAATTCAATTACCTTCATTAATATAAGAAAAAAGGCCTGCATATGATGCAGCCAAATTTAATAATAGTGGACAAGTCCACTGCATTTGGGGGAAGATCAATACTTACTCTCTCTTATCAAAGTAAAATGTATGCTCTATGAAAATAGAGTCATATTACATTCAAGACTTATCAAAAGATAAGAAACTAAAAACAAAGAGAAATCTGGTGCATACACATACATACATACACATACTCTAATTCAAGAGTAACAGTTTACTGTCCAAGAACAGGGGACTTAAAACCTTCAGGTACCACATGGCTGGCAGCCATATTATAGCTCGACAAGCCACAGTATTAATATTAAAGGAAAGCAATGCTCAGCCGGTTGGAGAGCATACATGAGTTGCTGCAATAATGTGAGACATGGCCAGTAAATGGAAGACACTGATACTACCATTTACACTTCCTTATTCTTACTTGGGAATGTCCTTCTTTCCTTTTGGTCTTCGGTGTTGGCCTTTATCTGCTTTTTCAGGAGCCTTCCTGGTTGTTGGTCTGTGTACTGGTGATGGCCCCTGAACTGCATCAAGCTCTACAGTTGGCTGTGGAGTTGGATGGGCTTCATCTGGCTGGCTACAAGACATCACAAATTCTTCAGATTCTACACAGCCAGTATTTTAACACCATTATTTTCTTCACAGATGATCAGTTTATCAACACATTTCATTAGAAAGATAAATCTGCTGAAAGTATGAACACCCCATACAAATTCACAGTCACATAAAAGTTTCCAAGGGCCAAGGCCATCAGCAACATCTTAAGCCTTGTCACTCAGGACTAGGGGATCACGAATCTTCTAGCAGTGTGAACTGTTTGATTATCTTTGGGTGGATTATCCACCTTGTGGGTTAACCATGGAACCCACCTTAAGTACTGATTACAGCTTCCTGTAATGATGTGAGTGTTGTCCATTACAGCTGTTTCCAATGAGCATCCATACACCCCCAACTTTCTTAATTTAAGCCCATGACATGACATTCAATAGCATTCTGAGGGTACCAATGCAGTAAATAAATAGTATATTTTCACATAAACTAGCTATTAATAATACAATACCCATATTTTTAAATATTTTTGCTATGTTGTTATACTGTTTCTTTCACTTTTAAATAAACAGAGATGATCAGCAATTCAAGTTCTAAAAACATACACTTAGGAATGTTTATGTCTATGTGCAGGTAAAATTAAGATTTCAGATTTGTGCAGCTTTAACATTACACAGCATTTTCCAAGAACATACCTACCACATAAATCAGAGTGTGGTTACAACTGTAGATGACAAGCTGTAAAAATAAAACTGTTTTATCAAACATTACACATTCATGCTAGTACAGACATGCAAACACAGCTATATTTAATTTTTATTGTTTTAAATACTGTTACCAGAATCTCAGGCCCTGTATATTTCACAACATGACGTTGCAGCATAAATTGACTGTGCATAAAATGAGGGATACCTGTAATGTCTTTCCGAAGTATACAGATATGATACACATTTAAAATTAACTAAATTTACTTCACATTTACCTTTCTCTTACAGATGCTGGTTCACTTGCTTTATTCTTTTCTTCCTCTTGTACCATTATATTCAATATCTGGCATGCTCGTTCCTCATTAAAATCAACACTCTCTAATGCTATGGTTATCACACGCTCTGGAATGTCTTGGTATTTCTCTTGTAGCCTTGCTTTCACTGAAACGATGACAATGTAATAACAACTGTGAAGATGACATGAACTAAGAATTCAGGCATCACTATATTTCATGCACATTCTCTTAAACAATGAATAATACTCATTTAATTCATACACTGAAGCTCTTATCCATAATGCTACTCACCTGCCAACCCACTACCAGTCACTTGACTGGAATGGGGCCATGATTAGACAAGTGCATGGTTATTTAGCTCAGTGGTGTGCAGGTTCTGAATAGACAGTGCCTTGCACAGTCACTGCAAGCAATTTTCTTGTCATTGTCTTCTGAATATCACACTATGATTTCACAAATTGAAAAACTGCAAACTTAAGCAACATTATCTTATTCGTTACTATAATAAGAGATCAAAATGCTGCTACATTCAAGGAATTAACCAAATCTTATGAAAAGGAGAGTTCTGATATAAAAATAATATTCAAATTTCCCACAATTGAATCAAATCAGACAGGTCCTCATGAAGAGAAAATAATGAAATAAAGATCATCAAATTTCAGTTTGTTGATAAGGTTCTACAACATTAAATGGTAGTACAATTAACCTTTATCGGACGAACGTCATCATATGATGTCGCGGATTCCACGCGTGTAAGTTTTTTTTTTAATTAAATTAAAAATATAAATTGTTGTTCTATTTATATGATTTTTGGTCACCACCTTTATAAGGAGACAGCCTTCCTTCCTGCATGATCTAATGTAATCTAGCAACATTTCCTGTCTTTTCCTAAGTAAATCTTTATGTCATAGTTATACCCAGCGACGTCACAAATTCTGAAGATTTTGATTCCAAAACGTTTGTGCTTCTTAGGAATGTACTGTCTAAAAACCACCCTTCCCTTGAATTTAACTATTATTTCGTCTATGGCTAAATGTTCGGAAGGGTTATAATATTTTTGATATGCGTCATTGAGTGTGTCGAAGATGGTCCGAATTTTCCATAGTCGGTCATAACTGTCGGCATTCCTGTCAGTTTCTGTACCGTTGTCTGCAAAATGTAGAAAACGAAGAATGTGAAGAAAACAGTCGCATTTCATTGTGTTAGAGTAGAAAGGCGTGGCAAATTGTTCACCAGTCGACCAGTAGTCCTTTAGTGTGTCTCTAATGTCATGTCCCATTTGAATTATTATTCCTAGAAACAGAAACATCTCGGATTCAGTTACGTCAGGCCGCGGAGATGGTCCGTCTTCAAGTCTGTCTAGGTACTGGTGATAGTACCTATTCGTCTCTTCCACCAGCAGATGGATAATCCCCGCAAAGTACAGNTGTGGCCATGGTGAACTATACAGCTCTCTAGCAGTGAATGGTTTACTGCCGGCACAAAATCTCTCTGCGCTTAGACCATGACCAGAAGCCATAAATCATAACCTCGCGCCCACACATAGAAAAATCTCATTCACGTCTTGGCTGAACTCAATATCTGCTTCAAACATGCTAGATGATGTCATGGGTAGCTAACCTTATATTGCAATGTTTCAAAATCGTTACAAACACAATGGTTTGACTGCAATGAATGAACGAATGACTGATCTGGCAACACCATATTCCGAGAATGTACTCCTGTGTCTTTCTAACAGATATTACACAGCGAGCGATTTCAGACGCCCACAGTCCTGCATACCGACATGTCCCATACGATAAATAAGCTTCAACAAGAGATAGCATTGTATGTGAGGTCGCCACGAAGGACTTACACTGCTAAAATGCATGGTGCAGAAAATGTATTACACTGCTGGAACTCATGGTGCAAAAATATATGAATTTTGGGAATTTTTTTTCTGGAATCAGTGTAAAAATTTTTTACAAATATTAAAATCTGTAAATTAGAATATCTGATTCTATATTCTTTCTAGATTAAAGGAGCGTTCATTTCGCTCGTTTATCATAAAAAATGTAGAAATCACTAATCCAGTCGACACCCTCCCATCATACTGTCACGTGTCACAGTGACTAAAGACAGGGTTCGGACTGGTAATTGGACTATTAACAACCTACATGTCTTAACTACAAATAATTCTTACACAACTGCTGATTTGCACAATTTACAATCACTCCACATTAATCTTAGTCTATTTCCACTAATCTCCATGGATTTACAACACAGGAACTCTTAAGTGTCCCTAAATTACACATTCCCAATACCACTGCATTATAGCTCACGTAAGTCTTCAAATCACATGTTAAGTCTTCACAGGCTGACTTCTACCCTTCTGTACTCCTCAGGCTTAATGCTTGCTTGTTTGCGTGCTTCTGCCGCTACTATTACCTGTATTCTGTCACTCTTACTTATACAGCCACAGAACAGACATGGACCTATATTAAACAAATATCACGTAACTGCTATCCAGCCAGTCTACTGGGGTGTCAGTTGGATCTACACAAAACACAGCTTCCTTTATTGCTGTGTGTTGACCCATGTTTACAGAGCTGTTGCCTGGCAATGCATTGATCAAATCCATTATAATAGGATAATTGTGAATAACAAATTAGAAAGGGTGAGAAACGCAATGGCCGTGGTTTACTTCAAAATAATATTCTAGCATCTGCAAGGAAAACTGAAGAAAATTTGGAGAACCTGTCAGGACAGCTACTCTCAAGTGAATATACGAACTGGGACTTCTCAGTACAAATGACTGCTAATCACCCATTACTTCATAAAGTTTGGCTGCATTGCTACAATGTTCTTATTATTGCATACAGTTAACATATATCATCATGGTGATTAGAATTTATCAGTTAATGCATTCACTGCCTGCATGAGAGCTACATGACCTGTGTGAGCTACCTAGGCATGCTGATACATTAAGTTAATGCATTCACTGCCTGCATGACAGCTACATGACCTGTGTGAGTTACCTAGGCGTGCGGATACATTAACCTTTAACCTCCGAATGGCACATATATATATGTCGCAAGCAGCAACCAGAGTTGGCCGACTGACACGTATATGTGACGCAGGACACACGCAACCTTTGGGAGTGCTGACAGTTTGACCTTGGGTTTGAAACCAAAACAAACCTATGTGAGGTAATGTCAGTGGTTCATTCCTTAGCTCTGAACAAAGAAATCGTTTATCTCAGTCCTGGTTTCGATACTATTTACGTTTAGATATGACTGTTTATGATGTGGTCAGCCAAATATAGCCCAGCTTTGTTTCAAGAACTGATGAGGAAATATTTATCGGTGCTTCCATGAGTGCTTCCAGAGCCTTCAAGGAAGTCTGACACATTCACGGATTGGTTTTCGGTGGCAAATTATCAGTTAGGAAGTCAGTGTTGGATTGTCTAATATTTCTTTATCAGTTAGGAAGTCAGTGTCAGACTCATATATTTCTTTATATATCATTTTTATTTTGGGTCTTGGAAGATGTATAAACCCACTGAGCCAGTATTACTTTGTGAGTAAAAGGCATCTTCGCCACTGCGACTTTCAGCGTGTGTCGGACTGGCACTCTTTTCGACTAGCATTATAATTACTTTGCATCACTATTTTGCGAGTATTACCAACAGATGAGAGTGTAACTTCGTCAATCAACATAATTTATTCGATGTTATGCCCCAAGGGCTATGTCCAAGTAGACATGTTTTTTTGGGGTAAATTTGGAATAAGTGTATCTAGACTTTAAGATTAAGAAATAGAAATGATGAAACGTACCAGGAAGCTTGGGTTTGCAAAGAAGTGTAACAGGCTATAGCTTAGTAATCAGAATGTTAGCGCGACAGCGTAATAACGCTGACATTGAGGAAGAAGCTATATGAAGTGGGTCATAAACACTATGGCATGAGGAAAACGCCGAGTCGAAAGGGCGGGAGACCTGAAAGAACCAACCCCCTTTTGATAAACAGCCAATGAGTGGGCCACACCGACCCAAAATCACGTCAGGATGGGTGGGTGAATACACCCCCGGAACCCAGCGAGTCAGCAAAAAGAGGGTACATAAACTCTAGAGGGATCAATCAAAAAAATTTAATATTATTAATTGATACAGAGTTCAGCCATAGGCTATCGCCGAGAGAGTGATGGCAATGAGTAGTTGTTGGTTGGTGATGGCGGCCTGTCTTCTCAGCTCACGTAAGTAGACTTACTTCATATAGCCATGAACATTAAGTGTGATAATATTAAAGTGCGAACCCCAGGGAGAGAAAGTGAAGACTAGATGGACTAGGTTTACTGAGAAAGAGAGATAGAGGGATAGGATACCCAAGAGCAGGGTGACAGGAGTAGAACTAATGTGTGTGCTACAGGATAATAACCCACGCATAATGCGAACCAACAAACGTCGGCAATTTGTGTATACGAGGGGGGACCCAAAAATAACCGGAAACGACCTGTTGCGCACGCATGCTTTGTAGTTACGAGTTGTACTGCTAGGTGGTGTTAGCTGGGGGTCTCCCGCGACTGTTAGTGAGCTGGCGTCAGTCTGAGTTAAGTGGTTTGTCTGTGGTGCTCTGTTGTGTGCGTTCCTGTTTCAACCCTTTGGCGATTAGTGAGATGGCCGACCAGAAGGAACAAAGAGTGTGCGTGAAATTGATGAAGATCGTCGAAAGACCACTGACCAACTTTCTGAGGAAACGAACATCTCATGGAGCACGGTCCAGCGAATTTTAACCGAAGGTTTGCACATGAGACGGGTGTCTGCAAAATTTGTTCCTCGCTTGCTCGGAGATGACCAAAGAGAAAACCGCATGAATGTTTGCTGCGACTTGAAGAGTGAAGTGCAGTTTTCCCTAACAGAAAGCAAAATTTCACGCACACTCTTTGTTCCTTCTGGTCGGCCATCTCACTAATCGCCAAAGGGTTGAAACAGGAACGCACACAACAGAGCACCATAGACAAACCACTTAACTCAGACTGACGCCAGCTCACTAACAGTCGCGGGAGACCCCCAGCTAGCACCACCTAGCAGCACAACTCGTAACTACAAAGCATGCGCGTGCAACAGGTCGTTTCCGGTTATTTTTGGGTTCCCCTTCATATATTATGTATATAGTGACATAGGTGAATAGAGTAGGATAGAAATGTGCTGTGATGTTAACTGAACCTAGCATTCCCTCAAGTGTTATCGTCTTCCCTGCCGACTCCAGCCTCCCTCCGAATCCTCCAGGAGAACTGCAAACTCAAGCCAAGGCGGCAGATACGTCAGTGATTGTAAATTTACCTGAGCCCGTCCCTAAGACTTAACAAGATGGTGGCAGGACGACACCTTGGTGGCAGTGGCGGGACACCTCCACGCCCCCTGTCACCACGGCATAACATTCCATTTTGCTAGAAACCTCCCTCCCCCAAGATGATTCTTCAATTGCACAAGCCCAATATCACCGTCAGTGGCGTTTCTCGGGGGAAGGACAAAGTTATCAGGGGGCCCAACTGAGTTGACTGCGGTGAAACATTCACATCACTGGCCAACCAAAGGGAAACAAAGATGTTGTGTGTTTCGCTAAATAAGAAGAGCAGGAGCATGCTCTTCTATTATAAAAAGTGTGATGTCGCTTTGCGAGAGGTGGACTGCGCGTCAGAGTGTATCATAAACTGTGAAGTGACACAGTTCAAACTCATGTCCAGTCTGAACAAAATATTATTGTACATAGTGTGATTATATTTACAATATCACCATAATTCAAGGTTGAAGAAAAAACAATGGGTAAGTCCTTTGGAATTTTATAACATATATAGTAAAGATTATATTTTGCAATTCATGACAAAATAATCACAGTTAATTTTCGTTTTTAAAAATTGCTCTTTTGTGTATATGTAGAAAATTTTATTGTCTTTCAGGTTGTTTTTTGTTTGTATTTCTATGTTGCATAGAACGTAAAATATGGATTTTTTCCTGAAAGTTTGCAATGTTAATTAATTAGGGCGATTTAAATATCAGCCGCAGAGGGATGCCGGCAATTTAAAAGTCCGTACATTAAAGGTTAAGTTAATGCATTCACTGCCTGCATGACAGCTACATGACCTGTGTGAGTTACCTAGGCGTGCTGATATATTAGGCACTTGATTATAGTAACATGACTGACAGCATGTTGAAAAAAGTGCACCAGAAGCTGCTTCCATATGTAGTAATTGTCTGCAGCTGCGGTTGGTTGCTGGCTTTCCAGCGCGGCAGCCCAGGTTCGACCCCGGGTCTGGTCAAGTGGGATTTGTGGTGGACAAAGTGGCGCTGGGGCAGGTTTTCTCCAAGTACTTCGGTTTCCCCTGCCAATCTTCATTCCACCAATTGCTCCACAATCACCCTCACCTATCATCTGGGGCTGGTACAATAGGCCAAAGTGGCCACAGTACAGGGACTTAGTCCCACCCCACTAGCAATAAAAAAAAAACTGTCTGCAGCTACTACAGACTCGTAAAACATCTGAAGGTCCATTCATACATTGCTCTAGTAGCAAAAATGGTTTGACATAGCAGATCCGTAAGACAAAATCTCAATTTACACAATTTCTACACTCAGATGCCATATTTAATAGTTATATAAACACTAAATTTTCACTGTAACATTAATGCAATAAAAGAAATGATGTAAATGATCCCATGCTCTTTCTTCTATTTTCACTCACTAAGACATCGTGTATTTCACCTCCTACAACAACAGTGAATGAATCAATGTTCATAATACAATGAAACCCTTACTTAAGGTTTATATGGGAACCAGTGGTTTTTAACACTAACCTGAGGAAAATCTTAAATGTAGGTAATTTCATGCCAAGTTTATTGCCTTGGGATTATTAAAATTCAACTGTAATTACTGTGCATTTTTTTTCCTTGGCACTACAGCCCCAGTGGGCCTAGGCCTACCTCCATGAACTTCTCCGTTCACTTCGGTTTTCTAGATCTTACACGTTCGGTAGGACTCCTTGGGTGGGTGATCAGCTCGTTGCAAGGCCTCTACCTGTACACAAACACAGAAAAACGCACACATACAAACTAAACATCCATGCCCTAGGTGGGATTCGAACCCACGATCCCGGTTTCCAAGCGAACGAAGACAGTACATGCCTCAGACTGCTCGGCTACCGTGGCCAGCACTGTGCAAATTACATACGAAAATACTTTTCTTACTTACTCTTCTGCTTCTCTTCAAGACTCTTCATACGAGGAGGTGGAGTTGGCAATGCTGGCCGATGTTCCTGCATCACTTTCTGCTGTTCTTCATTCTTTCGTGTTGTAAGTCTTGGAGGAGGAGTATCCCGCTTCTCAAACCCCATAGCAATTAACTTTTCTGTTGCTTTCTGGACATTATTGTCAGAATTTGAGAGAATATCCAAAAGTAGGGTTTCTTCCACCTTAGGAAACACACTCTTCAGATATCTGTCAATATACAACATTAAATATCTGAATTTATAAGCCACTGGGAACAAAAAAGAATTTATAAAAAAAATAAAATAAAATCCTCCCCTGAAAATACTAAATACTTAGCACCACCTATTTCATTAATCTGCAAGTGTATAGAGTCAAATGCCTAGACTGGATTGAAAATCAATAAATCTTTGCAAATTTTAAATATTTAATGTCCATGTGGTGCAAAAAGAAAACAATCTCAGTCACATGGTAAATATGCAACTATATATGTAAATACACATTAATGTTTACAGATATCTATCATTGTGCACAAGTAGCCAAAATGCATAAGATAATAAAATTCTTTCCAGACATATACATTATTTCAATAGAAGAGTGCAAAACATAGTTCACCATAAATTTATATGAATATTTAAGCATTTCCATATGACATACCTCTCATCTCCCCTTTCAATCTTATCATTTACTGTTCTGAAATTTACTACTAATCGAACATTAATGTTTATAGATTTTGAAAAATCCCAGCCACACTGTGAAGATGAAGAGTTAGGCAGGAGTGCTGTTTGCAGTTTTGATGAAAGTGTATTTGTGAAATTTTTTTCCACCCTGAGGCCTCAACTGGCCACCACATAGCTTTCCAACTGAAGAGCTGAAGAATTCTTTAAACCATTTTTTCTGGAATATATAACATTCTCCCCTTTTCAGGACCCTGCAGTTCCATATTCTGTTCTTGCACTTTTCTGGTATAAAGAAGCAATTTCATTCCTGAGCATTTCCACCTATTCAGGAAATAAATTAGGTTGGAAGTGGGTTTCATGTTTTACAGCTTGCACAGCATTCCTCATGAACTTCTAACGAAATTAAATTTTGGCTAGAATAATTTTGCAATTGTATTTTATCAAGATAAAATAATTTAGGTGGATACTGCTAGTATAGAAAACTCAAAAGACTATATGTTTGCTAAAAAGGTAAAGTTGTACCTGTGCATAATTAATTAGGCACTATGCCATGAAGGCACTCAGGGAGTGGATGTATTGATCCACATTTTCTTGACCTTGGCACTAGCTGGAGGTGAGTGGTCAGCTTCATGCCCTGGCCACTTTACACCCAGGGAAAGAGCCCCAACCCAGGTACCCATTGGTTAGGAGATTGGGTGAACCACAGAGCTGGTCTGGACAATGTGGAGAGGAGAAAATTCTTAACTATAACAGGACTCAAACTCCGACACCCTGGTCATCCAGCCCTTGACCAGGTGCTATACCCACTACATTACCCCAGCTCCCCAAAGACTATATGTAACACATGTTTAATATTTATACACCATAAAGACCATATAATGCTCACATGCAATAATCTACACTGTACACTCCGCCTTCACTTGAAACTTGTGGTGTTCATAGTAACAACTGATTTTAGGCTGTGCCATAGCTCAAGCGGTTAGTCCCTGGCTTTTTACCGCGTTGGCCTGGGTTCAGTCCCGGGTCTGGTCAAGTGGGATTTGTGGTGGACAAACTGGCGCTGGGGCAGGTTTTCTCCGAGCACTTCGGTTTCCTCTACCAATCTTCATTCCACCAAATTCTCCATCATCATAATCACCCAGGGCAGGCTACAATAGGCCACTCAGTGGCCGCGGCGCCAAGTGGACCCAGTTGGACTCCACCCCTTACTCAGCAAATTTAATAATAATAAAAAAAAAATGATTCTTGATATTACTTTATCTTGGAATATTTTACAGAACATGTTTCAAACAGGCGTGCTTGCTTACTTACTCATGGAGCTGAGCCCTTCTGGAGGAGCCGCCAATTATGCAGCTACTCAAGAATTCCCCAGCATTTTATGGAGCCCAAAGGTTCATTACCGTGTTCACAAGAGCCCTCCACTGGTCCCTATCCTTAGCCAGATCAACCCAATCCACACCATCCCATCCTATCTCTCTAAGATACATTTTAATATTGCCCACCCAGCTACGCCTTGGTCTTCCCAGAGGTCTGTTTCCTTCTTGCTTTCCCACCAATATCCTATATACATTCATCTCCCCATTCGTGCTACATGCCCTGCCCACCTCATCCTCCTTGACTTGATCATTCTAATTATACTTGGAGAAGAGTACAAGTTATGAAGCTCTCTTCACTGTGCAGTTTTCTGCAACCTCCTGTCACTTCATCCCTCTTCAGTCCGAATATTCTCTTCAACACCCTGTTCTCACACCCTCAGTCTATGTTCCTCCCGTAATGTCAGAGACCAAGTTTCACATGCATACATAACCACAAGCAAAATTATAGTTTCGTATATTCTAATTTTTATGTTTTTGGACTGCAGATGAGAAGACAAAAGGTTCTGGACTGAATGGTAGCAAGCATTACCCAAGTTCAACCTCCTCTTAATTTCCTCCTGAATCAGGTTTTGATCTGTTATCATTGTTCCCAAATATTTGAACTGTGCCACATTTTCAAAAGATCTCTTTCCGATCTTTGCATCATGATTTTGCCCTGCATTTTGGTGACAAGACAGCAACATATACTTCATTTTCTCCGTGTTTACTTCTAGACCAACCTCTTTACTTGCGTCAATTAAATTTTGTTTTTTTTTCTTTATGGTATCTACATTATCACCCAGTAGATTCACATCATTGGCATAAGCCAACAGCTGATGTGTCCTGTTTAACTGAAGTCCCACCTGGTTTCCCTGGACCTCCCTAATGGCATATTCTAAAGCAAAGTTGAAAAGGAGTGGCGATAAAGCATCTCCTTGTTTTAGACCATTCTGGATAGAAAATTTATCAAACAAATGCTTACTTACGCGGACTTTACTATACGTTTCGTTTAAACACATTTTAATCAACCTAACCAGTTTCATGGGTATCCAAAATTCTATCAGAATATTGGACAATACTTCCCTCCTAACTGAATCATAGGCTTTCTTGAAGTCTATGAATAGCTGATGTACTCTCTCACCGTACTCCCATTTTTTCTACAATATCTGACAAATGCAAAAGATCTGATCTGTAGTTGATGAAATTTACCATTTACCATTGTAGTTGTAGAAAGAATGTAGAATCAGATATTGTATTTTACAGACTTTATAAAATGTGTAAAAATTTTTAGACTGATTCCAAGTAAAAAATTCCCAAATTTGTCGTCTCTCTACAAGAATTCAGAGTTCTTGGAATGAAGAATGTTGTATGTAAATGTTGCAACACAGCAACGGATAGTTTATGGAGCCATGTATAGTCTTGCATGTCTCGAAAGATTATACACGTACGTCATTTCGGTATGCAGAGATGTGGGG